TTCCCAACAGATCCCCTGTCCCCAAAAATACCTGCTGCAGTGCCCAGTCCATGAATTCAGGGTTTCTTTGGGTAGCCAGAGTGCTCACATGGCACAGCTTGGCTGCCCCAGCCCTGGAAGTGCCCAAGGCCGGGCTGGAGGGGGTTTGGAGTAACCTGGGATGGTGGGAGGTGGAGGAGCTTTAAGATCCCTCCCAGCCCAGACCATCCTGGGGATTCTGTGATTTGGTGGAGATTTTACAGCTCTGGCCAGAATTTTGTCCTGCAAAAGCATCTTCAGGCAATTCCCACCACAAAAGTGGGGGAAGGCAAATTTCCAGCCGTTCCTGCCCAGGGAAAGAGGGACAGGAAAGCCTTTTCCCTGCTTTTTAAGGGAAAAAGGGGAAGTGTTGGTCAGGCAACTCATGGGAAATATTTTCCCCGTGCATTTCACGTCCCTGGGAAGGGAATTCTGAGAGAAACACAAGGAATTGGGGTGCAGAAGGTGCAGGGACGAGGAGGCTCGAGGGACTGGGGAGGGATAAGATGGGAGAGAAAAAGGCACCATCCCCGAAAACAGGGTGAGGAAAGAGCTGTTGGTGCCAAAGGTAAAAGGTGGCACAGGGACCAAAGGGCTGAACTGGCCCTGGATAAATGTGGGTTGGGAATAAGGGGCAGCTCTGGGCTATGGACAATCCCAGCCAGCGGGAGCTGAGGGGCAGCAGCTCCCAGGGAAAACAAGGCACTGCTGAGTCCTGCAGGAAAACAAACACTTATTTACAGCTCTCTGCCCTGCCCAGTCGCTGATTTCCCCCAAAATTTACTGTTAGGTACTAGTTTGGACACACATCTTGCTGTCAGAACGGGTCTGCAGAGGGGGCTGCCTGGTTCAGAAGGGATCAAATGATGCCTCATTTCCTGCAGGAAGCAGAAGAAATCAGGTGCAGTTCCACAGGAATTGACGCTTTTCTTTCCCATTTCTGCTTTGTTAGAGCTGCATAACTCCAGGGCTCTCCCCAGGAATTCCCTCTTCGTCCGTCAGACACACCAGGAGGAGGAGGAGGAGGAAGGGGAAGAGGAGGAGGATTTCTTGCACCCACCCTGCTCTGTGAACGTGGTTTTATTTTTATTCATGCAACAAAGAGTTTTTAATTTGGAGCTGAAATGAGATTTGGAGACACTTGATGTGGGGATGGGCTATAAAATATCACTGAATTGCTCAATAAATGTCACAGAATCACGGATCGGTTTGGTTGGAAGGGACCTTAAAGCTCATCCACGGGCAGGGACACCTCCCACCAGCCCAGGCTGCTCCGAGCCCCGTCCAGCCTGGCCTTGGGCACTCCCAGG